TTTTTTTTCGCCATTTTCGAGCATTTTTTGGCGTGTTTAGAACAGAAAATGAGTGTCCGATGTATTTATTCCAATTTCGTGCCATTTTAGTCGAAATATCCAGGAGCCGTTCTTGCAGGTGGGCAGTGATCGCAAGATCCACGAGCACCCTGTCCTCCGGCTTGTCCTGGTGGTCCTTCTCTTCCCGGTTGTCCTGGTTGTCCAGGTCTTCCTGGTGATCCTGGTGCTCCTTGTTCTCCAGGTGCGCCTGAAAACAAGGAATATGATGCAATTTGAATTTTTGAAAACAGCATCCGCGTACCAGGTTCTCCAGGTAGGCCAGGCTCTCCTCGTGGTCCGTCCATTCCTCTGTCTCCTGGTGGTCCAGTTGGGCCAGGATTTCCACCGCCTCCGGGACGAGTAACTCCATCGGGTCCTCGTGGTCCAGGTTCCCCATTTTGTCCTGGTGGTCCAGGTCGACCCGGTTGACCATTCTCTCCTGGTGTTCCTGGGGCTCCAGGTGCTCCAGGTGCTCCTGAATCAATTCTCTCAAAAGTATCACGGCTATATATGGAAGTCTAAGGGAACCTCACCTCCATCTCCAGGCAGTCCAGGTGGTCCTCGGGGTCCTGGTGATCCAGGTGGACCTCCAGGTGATTCGCAAGGGCATTGTTTGATTTGTGACATACGGTAGCTGAAAGATGTCCGTCATATAAGGAGCCAGGGAAGCTAAGGTCCACGTCTGCCTTATAGAGATTAGTTCCGTAATTGCACAACGAACTTCGGTGGTTCAACTGCCATAGGACCTGGAGCGCCGAGTTCTCCCGTAACGCCATCAACTCCATCAGCACCATCAACTCCAGGAGGACCTGCTGGACCAGGTGGTCCGCGGTTGCAGGTACAACAGCCCAAATTTTGTAGTATATTTTGGTTTTTGGTAGTCCGGTAATGTGATTTTATCATATAAAATAGCGTACCGGTAGCCTGCCTCTTCTCGCGCATTACATGGCTGGCAGTGGTTTTAATCTGGGCGTCTGGCTTGACAGAGATTACTTGGCGTAGAAGATTACGCGATGCCAACTGAAAGTGGGCAGTTTGTGGCTATAGTCAAGTGCGTGAGATATGAATGTGTGCGATTGCGGACTCTGTCGCCAAAAATCGCTTGAAAGCGCGCAACTTCTGCAAGAGCTGGTATAATTCTTTAAAGATTTTTCTGCACATATGGTGGTTTTATCAAGAAAACCTGCTAAAGTGTGGCTATAATTTGTGCATATTATTTTCGGAATTCGCTTTACTGTAACACACATCCCATTTCAGCTAGTTGACAGACAAATCGAAGCTTTTACTTTTTACA